ATAATATCATAGATTTATTCTTTTGTGACTTCACTTAGCATAATGTCCTCAATGCTTCCTCATGTTGTGTAATGTTTTATTATTTCAATGTTTTTCAATGCTGTGTAGTATTCCATTGTGTGGATGTACCAGAGTTTCTCTATAAATTCGTTTATTGATGGGAACTTGGGTTCCTTACATCACTTTGCTATTGTAAATAATGCTGCAATAAACATGTATGTGCATATATCTGTTGGAGTTGTGGCCCTAGTGTATTTAGAGTATATTCCCAGTATTGGATTTTCTGGGTCATAATGGTATTTCTATTCCTAACTTTCTGGGAAAGCACCAGAGCACCATCCATAGTGATGGTACCATTTTACATTACCACTAGCAGTGAATAAGAGAAAAAGACAATCTCTTTAATGAATGATGTTGGCATAATTGGAAAAACAGCTGCAGAAAGCTTAAGCAAGACCCACACCTCACACCTTACACAAAAACCAACTCAAAGTGGATCAGGGACCTAGAAGTAAAACCAAAGACTATAAAATTCATCAGAGAAGAGCTAGGAACTACTCTAGAAATCCTAATTCACAGCATGAACAGTCTTCTAAGCACAAAAATAACCCTACACTCTGGAGAGAATAAAATAGATAAATGGGACCTTCTAAGAATCAAATCCCTATGTGTACCTCAAATACCATCTCCAACAGGTTAAAGAAAATCCAAAATGAGGAAAATATTTGGTAGTGATGTATCTGATAAGGGACCTATATCTAAAATATATAGAATACTCCAGCACCTCAACAACAAGAAGAACAAAAAAGGTAAACAATTCAGTCACAAAATGGCCACAGGATATGAATAATCACTTCACCAAAGAAGACATTCAGATGGCAAACACGTGAAGAAATGTTCAAGCTCTCTAACTATCAGAGGGATGCAAATCAAAATAACTATGAGATATCATTTCACCCCAGCAACAATAGCAAAGTTCATCGGGGCAGTCAACAACAAATGCTGGTGAGATTGTGGGGCGATTGTAATACTTATATTCATTTATTTTTTATTCTGGGTAAAGACTGATATTTTTCCTCAAGCTTTGATAATCACTCTCAGCACCTTCTCCTGGTCTTCTGTCCTCTTCTCTGAACACAGAGGCCTTTGTAAAATGCTGTTGATTGTTGACTCAGAAAAACAGGAAATTTCAAACATAACAAAATGAAAAGGTTTTACCATTCAAGGTGATTCTCCACAAACGCAGACATGGGGCTAATCTGCACTGTGTACGTATCATTTGCAGAGTACTCAAAAAGTCCATAGTATGGGTTGAAAAGTTCTTGAGACAGCAGGAAAAAGAATTCTCTTGATGGACCACTGTAGTCTAGGCTGCAAAGGAAGCAGAAGTTCAAGAAGCTCACTGTGTGCCCAAAGAATGTCCATGAATGTGCACATCTGTCAGAAACACATTAAATCAGCTTGTCCATCAGAAACAAGAAAATAGTGTGTAAAGGCATAAAATGAATTCCTATGACATTAAATGTATATTTGTAAGAACTGGAAAAACTTCAGAGGTCAGTCTGATATACCTCCTAGGAGAGCTTGACTTCACATTCGAGATATTTTCTATGAAATTATATGACTATTTTGCTACATAGTTGTACATAAGCATTTTGAAAAGGAGATTCCTTGATTAGATACTATTAAGGGTACAATTACTGAAAAAATAAAAACCTAGTGACTTTAGGCTTGCTTTTTTTGCTTCCTCTTTGGCCATGTGGTCTCAGACTCACTTAGTTTCTATAAAAATTTCACCTTTAATGTTTGAAAACCATCTGACAGATGGCTATATGGGGGTGACTAGAATAATTTTGGGCAAAAAGCTTAGAGTAACTCCCCTGCATCCTTTTATCTCAGGTATGAACCTGCCCAGATGTCTGCATGAACACTGGCACCTCACCCTTCTTCTCCAACAAAGGTGACATAGAGCTTGTTTCGCTGGAGCTCTTTCCGGGAATAAGCCATCACCTGATTGAAGGTCCCCTCAAGCAAATGATCTCGACGAATAATGAGCCTGTAAGGAAAAAGCAAAGTCATAGGGTTGCTATGTGTCACACTCGACTTGACAGCACCTGACAATAACAATTAGAGAAGAAGCAATATGTGTAGTGAGCAGTGGCCCTAAGGCTCTGATATTTGGCTGTATTCTCTAAGCAATGAGTGCTCAATAAGAGGTGTTGTTGTTATGCACTGCTTTTTTCAGAAACTGACTCATAGCCGATTCTTGTGAGGGTTTTTAGAGGCAATAAATGGTATTGGAGGAGACTGCTGGTGTATTTGAACCACCAGCCTTTAAGTCAGCAGTGCAACTCCTTACCAGTAAGCCGCCAGAGCTCCCTCAGTAAGAGAAATCAATAAATCAATTTTGCAAGAGACTTATTTTTAGTATCTTTTTAAATATAGACAACAAGAAAATTTGTACATGTAAAATTGGACAGATTCCATCATATTGGGCTACAATTTAAATTCTTTTGATCACTCATAAGGATGTCTTTTAAACTGGATTTCTAAATTCAGATTTTACACTTACACATTAAGAACCACTAAATTTAGAAGAAAAACAATAAACAATTTCTTAATTGTCCAAAGCTACAGAGTTCACTGACTTGACTAATGAGACAGAATTTGCCCCATGAATAAATGAGAGAACATATAAGACTTAATAATCGTGTTTATGCTTCCTTGTTTTCTAAAATATTTACCATTCATTTAATATATGCTTTTATCTGAAACTTTTCTCTCTGTTCCATTCCCTTTATGCTGTCCTTCCAATTCTTTAACTTCCTTTCTTTTTTTCTTTCCAATTTCCTAACTTTATTCTCCCTTTCTATAAGTATAGCTTCTATCACAGTGGGGTATTAAAAAACCAAAACAAAAAACTACAAAGGTACAGTGAAAAAACAATACAGAAAACTCTAAAACTTAAATTTTTAGCCAAGCACTGGAACACTCACTTAATTTTTCCTGGACCCTGACCAAATCCTTTGGCTTCCAATTTCCTGTAAAAATTTCTGAGCTTGGCTTCAAAATCTCTCCGGTACGGTGAAGGGGCTCTTGCACTAGCTCTCTGTAAGCCTGCCGAGAAAAATAACATAGTCACTTTTTTATTAACATGAAGAAATGCCTTATCTTTATATTTTTCTTCTCTAAGAAGTGTCTCTAACTCTCATTACCCTCTCACTAATGTTTATAATAAATAGAAATAAAATGAATTTATATTATCTTACACCAAAAAATGAAAATATTGTAATAATTATTATAATAATAATGTCCCACTCTATTCCAGTTTACAATCTAGACATGACAAGAACTAATAGGCTCACAGTTAATCCATAATGACACGAAAGAACTATATAATCACAAACAGAGATGACTCAACCCTCTGGCAAAATATGAGAAGGTTTTTCAAGGAAGACTTAAAAAAAATTGTATGTGTAAATTAGATAGAAGGCTTTTGTTTCATGAACAAGAGTAATCCAAATAGAGGATCAACATGTGCAAATTCCCTGTGGTAGACTGAGACACAGTATTCTAATTCATCTACAGTACAGGGTGTGGGGGGTGGTGAATGACATAAAACAAGATTTGAGAGATGAGCATGAGCCACAAAAAGTAGTTAAGAATTTTTGTTTGGTCTTGAGAGCAAAGGAAGTTGTTATTAAGGGCTGATAAGATGTGACTTAAGTTATGACATCAGTTTTTCAGAAGGAGAAAGGGGAAAATTATCAGGGTCAGGGGGAAGTTAGGAAGCTCAAATTGAAACTAGGATGAGACCAGGGCTATGATCTATCTAGGACTATATATGAAGTGAATGTGACTATGTATGAAGTGAATGTATTAGAAATGTCTGCCATTTAGAAGGCAATGTATTAATTATAGGTGGAGAGAGGTAGTTTTTATTTTTGTAACTAAATGGATTTTGGTAACAGTCATGAGATGTGAAACACTGAAAAAACAAATTTGTGGAGAAAGATTATGAGTTTGTCCTTTTATGGCAGTGCCTTTGAGTGCTTGTTTGGAGAAAGATATTTGTGAAGGGTAATGAGTAGAGATTTGATAGGTTAGCAACAGGCATTTGAAAAAGTTTCTGCTTAATGGATTTAACTTTTTAAGAAAGAAAAAAAAAGAAGAGAGACCATTTGCCAGGGCAGAGAAGGAGAAATAAGGAGATGGAAATTTGATTAGAGAAGAAAGTACATTTACCAGAGAAATATAATACAATTTCTACTGAATGTTTTCTTTACTGAGAAGAAAAAACACTAATTTATAGTGAATAATCTGGGTGCAATGGTGGTTCACTGAGCTCTTGGCTTCCATATGGGCATTAAGGTTTTATTCCTTTACCCTTCATGTAAAGTCTCCATTCAACTGTTATTGTAAGTTTTTATGATTACAATGTAAAAAGGATTCCAATGGAATTTCTCAGACTAGGAAGGAAGACCTGGAGATATACTTCCAAAACTTAACCAACAAAAGCCTAGAGGATGACTTACAATGGTGAGATCTGCAACTGATTACGGAGATGATTCAGAAGTTAACAATGTTTTGTTGACTATATATGGGGTTACTGATTTAGTTATCAAGCACTGCTATGAAAGAAATGTCAAAGGTAGATGGCTTTATCAAATAGAGTATGCTTCTCAATTTACAAGGCTAGAAACCTGATTTCAGAGTGTCAAATCTGGGAGAAGATTTTCCTTCTGTGTCAGCTCTGGAAAAAAAATTCTTTGCTTCCTTTCAACATTTGTAAGCCTAGTGTTTATTACAGATCTTGTCTTGTGTATTGACATCAATATTCTTCTGAGTTTAGAAGGTTCTCAGTGCAGAGACCCTAGGTACAAAAGAAGCACTTTTATTTTGGCTTTTCTTTATTGTTGTTGTTGTTATGTGCCGTCGAATTGCCTGCGACTCATAGCGACCCTATGTACAACAGCCCTAAACTCCGCTCTGTCCTGTGCCAATCGCACTGTCTCTGACACTCCCATCCCAATTA